GCGGGTGGTTTCAAACTGTGGTTCTCGCCTTAGCGCGGCGCACACTTGTTTTTAACAGTTGCCCGAGTTTCACGGATTGAGGGCGGGTGGTTTTCAACATGTGGTTCTCGCCGTAGCGCGGTGCGCATTCGTTTCAAACATTTTCAAGAGTTTCACGGATTGAGGGCGAGTGGTTTTCAACATGTGGTTCTCGCTCTAGCGCGGCGCACATTCGTTTTAAATATTTGCCAGAGTTTCACGGATTGAGGGCGGGTGGTTTTCAAAATGTGATTATCGCTTGAGCGCGGCGCGCATTCGTTTCAAACATTGTTGCAAGAGCCTCACGGATTGAGGACGGGTGGTTTTAAAAATGTGGTTCTCGCCATAGCGCGGCGCACAGTCGTTGCAAGCATTTGCAATAGTTGCACGGATTGAGGGCGGTTCCGCCTTAGCGCCACGCACATTCGTGTACACAATTTGCAAGACTTTCACGGATTCCCGTCTGCAGCGTGTAAGAAGTAGTGTTTTGAAAGGATTCAGGATTGCGCGGGCGCAACAGTTACGTTGGTTCGTTGTGTCGAAGTCCCAGGAATGGCGTTATGGCACGATCCAGGATTTCAACACGCAACAGTCAGGTTGATCCGTGGTGTTGGAATCTTGAGAGCCATGTTTTGGCATGCTTAAGGGTCTTCACACGGTTGTCTGCCAACGAGGCAGTTCTTTCAATGGAGATGAACCGTTGTAGGGGCCTATGAGGAGGGAGTTTGGAGGGAGGGTTGATTCCAACATCGTTGATGACTCTTGATTTTACTCTGGTCCTCCTCCTCCTCCTCCTCCTCCTGCGGGCCACGTCGTCAGCAGGCAGTCTGGCCGAGCCAGGGCCCCGCGGGGAACGAACCGATGTGGCCCTTGTGGGCGAAGCACGTCTCCGCACCCGCGGCCTCGCGGGCCAGGCACCCCTGGGCCGCGACTCCTCCTCCTCCTCCTCCTCCTCCTCCTCCTCCTCCTCCTCCTCCTCCTCCTCCTCCTCCTCAGGGGCGCGCACCTCTCGCGGAGGCGTGTGGGGCCGCCACTGGCGCCAGGACGCTGTTCGCTGCTCGTGGAGCCCATGCCGACGGCAGGCTGCGTCGGCGTGCCCCGATCGTCTGGCCTGGCCGTCTCGGCTCGAGCGGCGCGGGCGGAAGCGTCGAGCAGCCGCGCGCGCGCGCCTCACAGAGCGAGCCATCCGCCGCGAGGCGCACCGGCCCTGCCGGCGACCCGGCCAGCTGGATTCGCACGGTCGAGGCCGAGTGGCAGGCCGGCCCTGCCAAGTTCAGGGTGCCCCTGTGTGTCCTGTGCCTCGCGGCACCTGCCGCTGCATTCCTGCGGCAGCCGCGGCCCTCGGGAGAGTCTTTTGCGTCCTCTCGCGTGCCCTCGTCGAGCCACCCCGACTGCACTCCTGCGCTGCTCGACGCTGCCCTCGCACCGTGCCCCCCTCGCCGGGGGGGCACGCGCGGGCGGCGGCGGCGGCGGCCCGTCCCGCGAGGAGCGGTCGGCGACGGCCTGCCCGCCGCCTTCAGGGCCCCGAATCATCAGGGGTAACTCGGGTCAGGGCTAACGCGGGGTCGCTTTTCGGGATTCCGAACCCGAGTTGCCCCGGGCCCGAGTTGCCCCGGATAATTCGGGCGCCCAGAGCCCCAACTCATCAGGGAGCACTCGGGTCAGGGCTAATTCGGGTTCGTTCTTCGGGAGTCCAAGCCCGAGTTACCCCGGACCCGAGTTGCCCCGGATAGCTCGGGCGTCCAACGCCATCCCCTCGGCTGCAGGGCCCGAGGGGCGCGGAGGGAGCGGGCACGAAGGCCGACGGCTGCTTGGCATCGCTCGGGCGTGTGCCTTTCTCCTCCGGCGAAGACTATCGAGGAGCATCCCTGATCACTTGGCGAAGAAGCCACGAAGCCACGCGCGGAACCGAACAAAAAGCACAGGGAATGGACGTGCGAGCGAAGGCCGACGGCTGCGCCTGCTCGCTTGGAGCAGGGCTTCGCCGTCGGCGTCGCCGCGGGCGCCTGCCCTCGGCGGCGAACGCGGGGGGGGGGGGGGGCAGGTGGCAGGTGCGGGGGGGGGGCGGGCCTTCGCAGATGGCTCGGGAGTTCCCCGGCCTCCTCTGACTTCACGAGTCGATCTTCGTTTTCCTTATCCCTCCTCTTCAGGGGGCGGGCTGAAGCCCAATCGACTGTCAACGCCTTCGTGCTCCATGTTTCTGCCCACTCCTTCCGTCTGACGGGTATCGCCTGGGGATAAGAACAAGTCATAATCTTCTTGTGTGAGCACTGTTCGGGGAAGTAGCCGGCCAGCGTGAGGTAAACGTTCCGTACCAGGAGATCGTTTCTTGCTCCCAGGCGATAGCGGCCGTTACCGGGTGGGGGGGCGGAAAAGGTCACGTTTTGCGCCGGCGCAGTCCGGAAATTCTTTCACAAGAGGCAGGGAGAGTGCGAATCACAGATGCTTATAGGGATCGGCCAAGACAGAGCGCGCACACATGCAGAGATCTGCTACGACAGAACGCGTCCTTCTCCTCCTCCTCCTCCTCCTCCTCCTGTTCTTCCTTCCCCTCCTTCTCCTTCTCGCCGTCGTCGTCGTCGTCGTAGCATTCCTCCTCTCGTCCTCCTCGTTCTCTTCATTGTGTTGCAAGGTGCTTCGCGCAAGGACAGACGAAGGGGGGGGAGGGAGTTGGGAGGAGGGAGGGGGCTGGAGAGGTGGCGCAAGGCCAACACGACCTGCTTGATTACACTGCTGCTGTCGACTCGTGCCCTGGGAGGGGTCAGCACGCTGTGGTGCTGGCGGGCCACTGTGGTGCTCGCGGGCGCGCGTTCTGCCTTTTCCGAGCCGGTGTCTCAGATTCGCAGCCTGGTGGCTCTGAAGTTCGTAGGGGCCGTCGGGTATTGGCTGCAACACGTGCGTTGGTGCGGAGCATCGTGCAGGTAAGATCGACAACAACCGTCCAAGCAATGGACTACGTCCGGGGCCGGCCCACTTGGAGCAGCACGGGCACACGGGATGGATACTCCTGAAGGACGTAACGTGAGTGCGCCGACGAGAAGGAACGGGCAGGGGAGGAGGAGGGAGAGAGAGGTGGGAGAGGGGAGAGAGGAGGGGTGAATATGAGAGGCCACTTCCCCCTCCCGGGTCCAAGAGCTGCTACCCCCCCCTCCCCCCAAACACACACAAACAAAACACACACGCACACACACAAACACACACACACACACACGCGCACACGCACACGGCACACGCACGCACTCACGCACTCACGCACTCACGCACTCACGCACTCACGCACTCACGCACTCACGCATTCACGCACTCACGCACACGCACACACGTTACGTTGCATTTTCGGGGGACCTCGTCTGTCCCACAGATCGGTGTCTTCTCTTGTGCGTGGCGCGGGTTCGATGCGGACTCACCACGAATCTGGCGTGGATTCGGCGTGGACTCGATGCGGATACGGGCGCGACGGGACAGTCAAGGTCCCCCGAAGATGCAACACAACACACGCACACCCGAGAGCATGACCCGATACTGAAATTGTTGTCAAACAGTTCGCTTTAGCCCGGCCCAGCCTGCCTGCCTCGCCCCCTCTTTTTCATGCAGTAAGCACCTTGCAAGATAGTGAACAAGATGAGGCCGACTTGAGGACGAATGCTACGACGACCATGCCGACGACGCGACGACGAGGATGAGGAGGAGGAGGAGGAGGAAGAGAAGCATGAGGAGGAGGAGGAGGATGACGAGGAACAGGAGGATGGCGGGAAGGGAATCGCTCTGCCGTAGCAGATTCCTACATTTGCATGCGCGCTCAGCCGGGGCAGATCCCATTAATTATCTGCTGTCCGAGCTGTCTCTGGCTATTCCTAAGCATTTCGAGATGGCGCTAGCGCGAAACGTGACGTTATCCGGGGGGGTAGGGGGGAGGCGCGGGGCCGGCAACGGCCGCTATACATGATCTTCAGCTCTTATTCTCCCTTCCATGGCCATTTGTGTTCAATACTCTCGAGGTGAGCTCTTCGCTTTTTCACGTCGCAACTGAACATTCATCGCTACACTTCTTGGCTATCGTCGACTCAGCAATGGTACACGTACTGATCTCTGCGGCGACATTGGCGTTCGTTTACACTGTGGACGCCGAGATGCAGCTCATGCAGATGTCAGTGCATGGGCCGGACGGTTTAGAGGCGGCAACGCTACGGACTGATTCCACGGACCCAGGGTTCCTCAACGTAATTACGATAATTATAGAGCCCCCAACAGCGGGAGGCATTGCGAGCCCCAGGGGGGAATTATCGAGCAGGTCTCGCAACAATTGAGAAGGATGAGGAGGAGGAGGGGGCGGACGACCAGGAGGAGGCAACGGAGCCCTCGACTCATTCCAGGAATTGTTGTGCCTTGTGTTATTCGTTGGATTCGCAATTTACCTGTTCAGTGTTGTTCCGCAGACAGACTGCTGAACGGGGTGCTGTTTTGGAAGAAATTAGTTCTTGTCGAGTGGTGGGCGAGCAGACATCCTCAAGAGGAAGTGGTGGTCTGGGCCGTTTAGCCTGATACATCCTCACATCTCCCGTTTCTGAGTTGGCCAGGATTAGGCGTTTCGCCTGCGGCATCCTCGCAGTTCAGAGCTTCGAGACGCCGCGCGCGAGGTGGTCCGGGGAGTTTCGCCTGATACATCCTCGCACCCCTGGGCTCCGAGCTGCTGCGCGCGAGGTGGCCCAGCGCGTGTCGCCAGAGACATCCCTGCAATTCAAAGCTTCGAGATGCTGCGCGAGAGATGGTCCTGCCTGTGTCGCTTGGGACACTCTTGCATCTCTGAGCTCCGAGCTGCCGCGCGAGAGGTGGTTTGGCGCGTTTCGCATGAGATGTCCTCACAGTTTTGTGCCCCGAGATGCTGCGCGCAAGGTGGTCCAGCCCGTTGCGCCTGAAACATCCTCCCAACTCTAGGATACGAGCTGCCGCGCGCGAATTGGTCTGGCGCGTTTCGCCTGAGCCACCCTCACAGCTATTGGCTCCGAGATGCCATGCGCGAGGTGGTCTGGCGCGTTCCGCCAGAGACTTCCCCGCGTGTCTAAGCTTCGAGATGCCTCGCGTGAGGTGCCCCAGCACGTGTCTCTCGAGACATTCTTGCATCTCTAGGTTCCGAGATGCCGTGTACGGAGTGGTCTGGTTCGTTGCTCGTGACACATTCTCACAACATTGAGGTCTGTATGCTGCGCGACAGGTGGTCTGGCCCATTTCGCTTGACACATCCTCGCATCTCTGAGCCCCGAGATGCCGCGCGAGAGGTGGTCTAGCCATTTCGATTGAGGCATCCTCGCATCTCTGAGCACCGAGATGCCGCGCGCGAGGTGGTCTAGCCCATTTCTGAGACTTTCTGCCGACTCTGAGCTCCGAGATGCCGCGCGCGAGGTGGTCTGGCGCGTTTCGCCTGAGACGTCCTTACAACTTTGGGCTCCAAGACGCCGCGCGAGAGGTGGGTTGGCGCGTTTCGCATGAGACGTCCTCACAGTTTTGGGTTCCGAGATGCTGCGCGCAAGGTGGTCCAGCCCGTTTCGCCTGAGACATCCAACTCTAGGATCCGATCTGCTTCGCGCGAATTGGTCTGGCGCGATTCACCTGAGACATCGTCGAAACTTTGGGCTCAGATATTCTTGCACCTGTGGGCTCCGTGATGCCATGCCAAAGGGCCAAAGGTAGTCCGGCCCATTTCGCTCGAGACATCCTCGAAGCTCAGCTCCGAGATGCCTCGCGCGAGGTGGTTCGGTCCGTTTCGCTTGATACACCCTCGCAATAATGAGCTCCAACAGGGAGGAGGGAAGACGGAGGAGATAGGAGGGGTCGGCCTGCAGGGAAAATCCCGCCCCGCGGGCGGATGCCATTTCGAGGAACTCCCTGGCGACCGCCTTCGCTCGGTTGCGAGGGAGTTTCTGGAAATTCACCTCGGGGGAAGAGGAGGCGCGCGCCTTCGGGAAGATACCCGCCCTGCGGGCGGACGCCATTCCGAGGAACTCCCCCGCGGCCACCCTTGCTCGGCCGCGAGGGAGTTTCTCTCGAAATTCAAAGCGGGGGAGGTGGAGTCGCGAGCTTGCGGGGAAAATCCCGCCCTGCGGGCGGATGCCATTTCGAGAACCCCCCTCGCGGCCACCTTTGCGCGGCCTCGGGGGAGCTTCTGGAAACTCACAGCGGGGGAGGCGGGGAAACTCCCGCCGTGCCGGCAGCTGACATCTTTACAAAAAAATCCTTCCGGGTCACCTTTACTGTGGGGGAAGCCCCGTCCTGCGGGCGAATGCCATTTCGAGGAACTCCCTCGCGACCGCCTCTGCTCGGCCGCTAGGGAGCCTCTGAACATTCACAGCGGGGGAGGTGGAGGCGCGCGCCTTCGGGGAGAATTCCGCTCTATGGGCGGGTGCCATTTCGAGACACTCCCTCGCGACCACCTTGTCCTCGGCCGCGAGGGAGTTTCTGGAAATTCACAGCGGGGGAGGAGAGTGCGCGCGCCTGGTGGGACAGTCCCGCCCCGCGGGCGGATGCCATTCCAAGAGTCTCCTTCGCGGCCACCTTTTTTCGGCCGCGGAGGAGTTTCTGGAAATTCACCGCAGAAGAGGCGGAGGCGCGCGCCCGCGGGGAGCATCCCGCCCCGCGGGCGGATGCCATTTCGAGGAACTCTCTCGCAGCCACCCTTGCTCGGCCCGAGGGAGCTTCTGGAAATTCACAGCTGGGGAAGAAGTACGTACCCCACCCCTCTTTGGAAAACCTTGGATTGTCTCCTGAACGCTTTTTTGATTTTCTGTTTAGAGCCCCCCCGCGGCCGGGCACGGGTGACCTCGAGGAAGTGGCTCGGAATTCGGCCTCGGCGCCAAGCCGAATTTCGAACAACTCCCTCGAGGCCACCCTTGCTCGGCTGCAGGGGGGTTTCAAAGTAGGTTTCACGAGTTGAAGTTGTGGAAACGCCCCTCGCGCACCAACCCCTTTTTGCTACAATCCTCGCGTACCCTTGTGGGCCCCAGGGAGCCCCAGTAATCCTTTCGCAATCCTTCGGAAAGCCCTGGCGCCCCCCAGGAGTTCCCATTTCGCGTGAGAAAACAGGACAAGACGATTAGAAAAATGATTTAGATGAGAAAACAGGACTTCGTGGATGCGAAGTGGACGAAGGCAAAGCCCACATTCGGTTTTGAGGAAGGCCCAGGGCGGGGTGGAGGGGGGCGAGGGCGAGGTGTTGGTGGACGTTGAGCCGAAAATTCCAAAACATGATTTGGTCCAAGATTCACGTAGACTTTGGCCTAAACATCGCTGGGCGTGCTCGGGTAGCTTTCTGGACAAGACAAAAGACAACAGCACCGGTTCGGACTTCTCCGCCGCCTCGCCCTGGCGGCACCCGCTACTGGACCCCCCCTGGCGCCGATTTCGCTACAGCCTCGCGCCTGTTCTGGTTGCCCGCAGAAGAGGGCAGCGAAACCGAACGCGATGTTGTCGCCAAGTCGGCCAGCTGTTCCACCGCAGTTCACGCGTGGACCCTTATGGCGCTTGTCAGGGGGCCTGAAGAATATGCGCCGCGAGTGCGAGGCGGTGGGGGGGTTGTGAACTTCATCCTACATCCCCTCTGCCCCCCCGCGAATTCGTTGGCGATTTATTTCTGAATTTGGTTCGGAACCATCAGTTTCAACCGTTTACCGCAAGATCCACGTTACAAGGCCAGCATTAAGGCGGAGGCACCATTGCGAGGGAGGAAGATGGCCAGCGCTGCGGCTAGAGCGTTGTACCTCCTCGTTGCTCTTGCTCTCCTCGATCGACTCGGCCGCCGAGGCGGATTACGTGCTTATTCCTCAACGTGGATGCGCAGGTCCTGGCAGGGAGAGTGGGTGGCTTACCGTCGGCAAGCCGTACACTCCTGCAGCGTGCGCGATTGGGTGCGCGACATACAACTACTTCACCATTGCATGGAAGGACGCCAACTGCAAGTGCGCGGACCAGTGTACAGATGAAAACGGTGGACATACATCCTATGCCTTTGTTCAGGTGGGTGCACGTCATCGTCTTCGCTGTAGTCGCCGTCGCCGTTGTTGTCGTCGTTTCCGTCGTCGTTGTCGCCTCCGTTGTCGTTGTCGTCGTCGGAGTCGTCGTCGATGTCATCGTCTTTGTCGACATGGTTGTTGCGCCGTCGCCGGAGCCGGAGCCAGGCGGAGAAGCCCAAGGGGAGGAGGAAGGGGAGGAGGGCGGAGGGATCCGAAGAGGTAAGGGAGGTGGGGGGGGCCTGTCCTGGGGAGGGGGAGGGATGCGGAGGATGATGTTGGCAGAACGAAGGGGGGGAGGGAAAGCCGGTGGCAGAGACGGCGTCGAAGAATTTGGTGGATGCGGAATGGGACGGGGAAGAGGAAGAAGAGGAGGAGGACGAGGAGGAGGAGGAGGAGGTGGAGAAAATGACACAATAATAATACCAATAATCATAATAAGGTCACGGCAGTTACGATTCGCAATAAGAGTAATGACAGCAATAGAAATAATAATCAACATAATAATGTGCAGAAAAACCATCAATAATAGGAGGAGAAAGAGGAATAGGAGGAGGAGGAGGAGGAGGAGGAGGAGGAGGTGAAGGAAGAGGAGGAGGAGGGGAGGAAAAAGAAGAGGAGGAGGGCGAGGAGGAAGCGGAGGATGACGGGGGGAGGAGGAGGAGGAGGAGGAGGAGGAGGGAGGAGGAGGAAAAGGAGGAGGAAAAGGGAGGAGGAGGAGGTTGTTCCGGTGGCGGCGGCGGCGGCGGCGGCGGAGAAGGACGGGGGCGAGGAGGAGGACGGGTAGGAAAAGGAAAAGGAGGAGAATGAGGAGCTAGCGGAAGAGGCGGAGGGGGCGGAGGTGGCGGAGGAGGAGGAGGAGGAAGATGAAAAGGAGGAGGATGAGAAGGAGGAGGAGGAGGAGGGGGAGGAGGAGGAGGAGGAAATTGAGGAGGAGGAGGAGGTGGAGGAGGAAGACGGGGGCGAGGAGGAAGAGGAAGAGGACGAGGAGGCTCTCATAGGTTCTCTTGGAGTCATCCTGGGGGGCCTTGGAGGACGAGGAGGAGGAGGAGGAGGAGGAAGAGCAGGATAGGCGTGGCAGGGGAAGGTGCTGGGAGGGTAAGAACGAGGAGAATGAGTGGTGCGGAAAGATGAAGGCGAAGTCTGATAGTGCACCTGACTTGCTCTCGACTCGTTCTCTGATTCCCTCTCCACCTCGGGGCTTTATGGTTGCAGGGTTTGATTGTCAGAGGGTCTTGCGGCTGCAAGATTCCAGAGTTATATGGTGAGGGGTATTTTGGTTTCAGGTCCTGAGGGCTTCATGGCTCTAGTACGTTCGTGTCCCACGGCGTCATGGCATTTTGTACTTCGGGTCTTCGCGTGCTTGGATGTTCGGTCTTTGCTGAGATACTCTTCAGCGGCGAAGGCAAGCAGCCTCGCCGAGCTTGAACAGCGATAGAACAAACAGAATTGCAAGGGGGGCTGGGTCTGCTCCACCGCCACGCGCGAGGCTTCCCTGACCACAGGCCCCCGACCGCCTCCAAGGACGCGAACATCGCGCCCATGGGCGTCGCGAAGGGCTCCTGGATCGTGACCCTACACCCTTCGCCGCGAGCCTGGCGCACGCCTCGGCGAGCATCCGCTCCTTCTCCGCGCAGCCGCTATCCACCGCGAGGGAGCCGGAAGCTGCCGCCGCGCCGAGGGCGACGAGGGGGGGCGGCGCACGCCGCGCCCCCTCGTGCCAGCGCCTCGGCGGCGACTCGTCGCGCCGGAGCCATCGCCCGCGCGGGCCGCCGCCACGCGGGCACCGCCTCCGCAAGAGGGCGTGCTGCTCGGTTGCTCGTCGGCCCGCTCGTCGTCCAGCTCCGCGGCCTCCTGCAGTGCAGGGCGCCCGGAGCCACGAGAGGGAGGCCAGCCGCCGCTCCGTGCTGGGCCGCGGCAGGCGCGGGGCTCGGGCGGCGGCGCCGAGTCCTCGGCCCTCGGCCGCCGCCGCCGGCCGCGTCCGGCGCCGTGGGCGCTGCGAGTCCCTCTCCAGGGAAGGCGCCCAAATCCTCGGCCGCCGTGCCATGCGCGTCGGGGCCCGCAGCGGCATCCCTGCGGCCACCCCGCCCTCGCCGCCCCCGCCTCAGGCACAGGCGCGGGCTGCGGCGTGGCGGGCCCCGCAGGCCCGCCACTGCCGCGCGCAGCATGCCTTCGGCGACTCGCAACAGGCGCGCCCCCGATTGGGAGCGCCCCGCCGTAAGCCTCGGCGTCGCGGCGGCCAGGCAGCTGCGTGAACGTACCAGGCGTTGCCCCGCAGCGAGCGCGGCCCGGCCGCGGCCCAGCTATGCGTAATTAATCCAATATGGTACTCTTTGTTTGGAAGTTGAGGAGGAGGAGGAGGAGGAGGAGAAAGAAAAGGAGCAGGAGGAGGAGGAACTATAAGAACAATAAGTATAAACAGTATAACAATCATAATAGGAAGCGGCATACGAATACTAACAATACGAACAATAATATTAATACTTAGAATAATACAAGTGACAAGAATAGTACGAATAATGGCGTGAAGAACAATAACAAAACGAATAATACTACTACTACTACTACTACTAATAATAATAATAATCATAACACTGATGATAATAATAATAGTAATGAGAATAGTAATAATAATAAAAATAATAATAATGATAATAATAATCATAATACTAATAGGAATCGCGATACGAATAATCAGTATAATAACATGAAGAAGAGGAGGAGGAGGAGGAGGAGGAGGAGCAGGGCAGGGGGAGGATTAGGATGTCGATCGTCAGGACTCCCGGGGGTGAGTAAATCGTCGGTTCAGTGGAGGGACAGGAGAAGGATGAGGAAAAGGGTGGGGGAAGGAAAAGGACATAGCCGGCTGAGTGGGGGAGGGGGAGGGGGCTGGGGAGGGGGTCTTTCTGCTGCGCGCATGGTCGTTCGGCCGTGGTTTAGCGGCCGCCTTTGGGCAGCGAGTGAGGAGGGCGGAAGAGGAGGGGGAGGAGCGAGAGGAAGAGGAGGAGGAGGAGGATAATGAGGAGGAGCAGGAGAAGGAGGAGGAGCAGGAGCACGAGCAGGAAGAGGAGGAGGAGGAAGAGGAAAGGCTTGGAATTCCTGTTCTGGGCGTGGCAAGTCTTGGTTTTGTGTTCCGCTGGGTTCTGGGCTTCGCCGTCCGGCGGTCTCGGATTTCGGTTGGCGGTTCCAGGGTTCTCCTCGAACGACTGCGGGTTTCGCGTCTTCTGGGTGTCCGGGCTTCGTCGTAATACAATCCGGGTTTCGCTTGCCGACCGCCCGCTTTCCAACCGTACGCATAGTACCTGATACTCAGCTCAGGCAAAGATTGCCGTCGGATGGGCAGCCATTGTGAACCAATACGAACGCCAGGTTTGCGACTCTCGCGAGGTGCGCCACCCGTGGCCCCAAGCGCGAGCGTGCCAGGCGCGCTTGGTGTGCCACGTGTTCCATGCGTGCCGCAGTCTATCGTTTAGGTGCACCAGGTGCGCGGAGAGCGCACACTGCGCCAGGCGGCGACCGGTACGCCAGTGCACGCGACAGACACATCGCGCAGTATAGATCGCTCCCCCACCCCCAGCGTCCCTGTCAAAAGTCAGTGCGAAGTGGCCTAAGGTGGTCAGCATGGTGCACGGTGTTTGCGCCGCATTTTCCAGTGGCGCGACATGCGCAGAATGGGCCAGTGCACGCCGCAGCACACATCGGCTAATATGTCGAGCCCCTGGCCACGCGCGCCGAAAACCCGTGCCGAGTGGCAGCGGGCGGGGTGGTTGGCAAGGTGTATGGCGTGTGCGCCTGTAATGAGTTTGCATGGTTTCTGATAGGGATCGTGGGCGAACGCACAGCGGACAAATATGCTTGTTCCCCGCCCCCCCCACGCCTGCCGCAATAGCAAGCAAGGTGTTCGCGGGGTCCCCGTCAGGATCCGGATGTAGCCGACACATGTATTCTTTTTTGTTTTGTTGAAAGGATGGGGCGGGACAGAGGGCCCTCATTGCTCTTGGCCTTCGGCCGGTCGAATGGGGGAGGGGGTTGTTTATCCACAGGGGACTGGTTAAACCCCGATCGCAGGGGAAGCAGAAAGGGTTGGAATAGAAGGCGCCCTTAACAACGCCCAAGGCCAGGGGGCCCCTGGCCAGATGACGCCCCAAGCCTCTTGGGCCATTTTGGTTTCTCCTCAGACAGAAACGGGCAGGAAACCCAAAATTGTTTACGAACTACACGGCGATCCATGTTTTTTCCAGTCGGGGCCCTTTGGTGTGTCTTGCTGGGGCCGTCCGGGGGCTTCCAGCGAGCCTCTTTAGCGCTCTTAGGGCTGCCTTTTCAGAAGGCGTCGACGCCAGCGCCAACACTCGCACCAACGCCCTCACCGACAGCCTTTCCAACGCCCTACCCGACGGATTTCCCGACGGCCTTCCCGACGCCCAGCCCGACACCCAGCCCGACGCAGGCGACATCGTCGTCCTCCGCCATTGGCGACCCACACCTGCAGAACATGTTCGGTCAGCGGTTCGACTTGGTGAGGCCGGGCACGGCTGTCTTGGTCAGCGTTCCGCGCGGGACGCCCGTCGACGATGCGTTGCTTGTTGTAAAGGCCGACGCGCGTCGATTGGGGGCGCATTGCTCGGACATGTACTTCCAGGAGATCAACGCAACAGGGACGTGGGCGAACAAGGCGCGGCCCGGAGGCTTCCACTTCGACGCTCGCGACGCGCGAGACGAGACGCCGAAGTGGCTGAAACTCGGGCTTGTGGAGCTCAAAGTCGGCAGCGGTCACACCGACAAGGGGCAGCCTTACCTGAACGTCTACATCAAGAACCTACAGCACACTGGGTATCGTGTCGGAGGGCTGCTTGGAGAGGATGACCACACGGAGGCGGCGGCGCCTGAGGAAGGGTGCCAGAAGATGTTGTCCCTGGATGCACGTGTGTATAGTCAAGCTGCGGATCTACAGGGTTCCGTCGCAGTCGGCTACTGAGCCGAGGGCTCCCAACTTTTCGGACCCCATCTGGGAGGCCGAGACGATCCCACGATTCGTCGTAAATTACACGATGTTCGCGCCCCCGAGACCACGATCCTTAGAGAATGAGGCCATATTCGAGTGGAGGCCACGATCCCTGGCAAACGACGCCAAATTCGGGCAATGACCCCCAGTAAATTTGCCCTAGCCGCGAGATTTTGCCCAACGTAGCCTCCAGCAGCCCCTGGTCGTTTCAAGAGGGCCTCCAATTCACAGCGCCAACGGAAGCTCGAAAGAATCAGCACAGGGTCGACAATACGATCTGAATCTCAGTGAGCATCTCCCTCGCAGGAGGCTCCGATATTGTTTCGCGATGGCGCCCTGACATCCCATCACTGACATACCCCATGAGGATAGAGAGGGGGGCTACGGCAGAGAGTGATGCCCTTCTGGATATCCGTGCATATAATTGGATATATATATATATACATACACATATACTTGCACATGTGCAAACAATGTATGTGCATGTGTGGATGCATGCATTTATGTATGTGTGTATGTTCGTATGTATGTATGTAAGGGGTGAATGTATTCAAGTATGCAGGCATGCACGCATGCATGCATACATGTATGTGTGCATGTGTATGCGCGGGTGTAGGTACGTGCCTATGTATGCATGCCTGTCAGCATGGATGTATGTATGTATGCGTGTATATGTTTATGTTAGCATGTGCATGTGCAACTGTACGCACGTTAGTATGTATGCTATATGGATTCATGTATGATTGTATGCAAGCGTGCAGGAATGTATGTACGTGTATGTGCATGTATGTGTGTATGCATGTATGCGCCTGCATGTATGTATGTATGTTCGTGTGTAGGAACGTATGTGGTTGTTCATGCATGTGCGTGTATGGGTATACATGGAGTTTGGTATGCAGGTGTGAATGTAGGTGTACATGAATAAAGCTTTGTGTGCATGCCTGTATACATGTATGTAATTGTCTATGTATGTATGTACGAGTATATGCGCATATGTATGCATGTGCGCATGTATGTCAGTGTGTATACATTTTGCTATGCATGCCTGTATGCGTGTATGGCTACATGTAACCATGCGTGCAGACGTGCATGCATGCATGTATGCACACATGTAGGCATGACTGAATGAATTTGTGTATGTATGCATGCAGGCATGGACTAATGTATGTATGCATTTACTATTGTGTTCATGTATGTGTATGTATGCATGTACGCATGTATGCATGTGTGAATGTATGTATATATGCATGCATGTGTGTTTGTGCGAATGTATGTATGTAAGTATGTATGCAGGCAAGAATGTACGCGTCTTTGTGTGTCTATGTACATGTGTGTGTGACTGTACGCATGGCATGGACGTCTGTACGTGTACATGTATGCTTGCATGTAGGTATGCATCTCTGTATGTACGTATGCATGCATGAATATATGTGTGTGCGAATGTAGGTAGGCATGTATCATGTACCGACCTCGTATTGTTATGTATGTGCATATTTATTTTTATATATATATATACATATGGAGTAACACACTCACACACAGAAGGGACATCCCGGGCCCCAGGGACCTGGGCCAGGACCACACTCGCACATCGGTGCTCCCCCCCTTTCCCCCCAAAACGGTTTCCCTGCGAGGCCCCCCGGGATCCGAGACCGCCTCGCAGCGTTCCCAGGGCGCCCAGGACGCCTCCAGTCAGCTCACGAGCGCTCCGAGGCGCCCCAAGATGGCTTCAAGAATGGGCAAGAGGTCCCGAAGACGCACAACGAGCGCTCCAAGAGGCTCCCCCGAGAGGGCTGCAGGAGGCTAACATCGCTCGATTCCTGCCCTCTCCGAACAGACCTCGATCTTACACCTCGGCCCGATTGTGTGCCAACACAGCTCTTCGTCCGATGGCTCCTCTTGTGGATGCCCCTTGCCTGCCGCAGCAGGCGCAGCTGCCGCTTCGGCATCCCAAGCACGCCGTAGGTATTGTGTCTGCCTTTTGAAAAAGGAACGCAGGAGCCAGGAAGGAGGAGGAGCAAGGATGACAATGATGATGATGATGATGACGATGATGATGATGCTGATGATGGTGCGGATGATGATATTATGTGAAGGAGAAGTGAAGAGGAGGTGGAGGAGGATAATGATGATGGTGATGATGATGATGAGACGGATGATGAACCGGATGATCTCAATGTTGATGAGAATGTTGATGATCATAACGCCGACGACGATGATGGTGATGAAGATGATGGTGATGATGATGATGATGATGATGATGATGTTGATGACGATTATGATGATATTGACGAGGTTGATGATGACGATGATGATGATGTTGTTGATGATGATGATGGTGTAGATGATGATATTATGTGGAGGAGCAGGAACATGAAGAGCAGGAGGATATTGATGATGGTGATGATGATGATACAATCGATGATGAACTGGGTATTGTTAATGCTGATGATCATGTTGATGATCATGATGCCGTCGACGACGATGATGGTGAGGATGATGGTGGTGATTATGATGATGCTGATGACGAGGACGTCGATGATGATGCTGATGATGATGATGATGAGGATGATGAGGATGATGATGATGATGATGACGATGATGAGAATGACGAGGCTGATGATGACGAGGATGCTGCTGCTGATGATGCTGATGACTATGAAGCTGATGCTGATGATGATGATGGTGCTGCGGATGATGATATTATGTGGAGGAGAAAGAGGATGGGTAGGAGGAGGAGAAGGAGGAGTAGGAGGAGGAGGGAGAGGCGAAAGAGGAAGTGGGGGGAGAAGGAGGAGGAGGAGAAGGAGGAGGAAAAGGAGGAGTAGGAGGAGGAGGAGGAGGAGGGAGGATATAGAGCTGAATGGGGGCAGCCTGGCCAGGGCGGGGGCGACGGTGCGGAGGAGGGATGGGGGAGGAGGAGGAGCAGGAGGAGGAGTTGGATTTGGCGGGGGAGGGGGAGGAAACAAAGGAGGAAGAGGAGGCGGAGGAGGAGGAGGAAGAGGAGGACGAGGAGGAGGAGGAGGACTATCAATACTACGCATCATAAGGCGCATACTAATTCTAAGGCGATTGATAATAAAACTAATACGACGACGACAACTACGACAAACACTAGTAAGAACAACCACCCAAATAATACTCCGAACATGAATAGTATGATTTAAACACATATGAATATTAATAGTACCAAGAGGAAGCGCACGACCAAGACGAATACCACGAATGAGAAGAAGAATGATGATGAGAATACTAATGCTACGCATACTACCCCTACCAAAAAAGAACTAATACGACGATGGCAAACACGACAACTACTAGTAATACTCAACATGCGAGTAATACTACACTAAGAATGCTATTAGTTAGAATGCATATGACTACTAATACCAGGACGAAGCATACGACTACGATTCATAATAGAGGTGATGTCTCCTGGTGGCGCCTTCCTTCGGGGTCGAGAAAGAGGGGGGTGATGACTAGGGGGGGATGGATATCATGGCGTGGGCCATGATATTCCCGCAGATTTCATGGCGCCTCTTTTTATTTCATAACGTCCCCAGCCCCCCCCCCCCCTGGGCCGCGCACATGCCGCCGGTCATGATTTGCACCCCGCCCTCTTGGACGCCCCCCTCTTGGCTGCCCCCGATTCCCGGAAGGACACTTCTCCGAAGGCGCGAAGGACTTCTGAGAAGCCCCGCCGCTTTCTGAGGAGGCCATCTCCTTCTCATTCCCCCCCCCACTCTCTTGCCGCCACTGCTCGGGTCGAGCGAAAATCGGGAGGAGGAGGAGGAGGAGGAGGAGGAGGAGGAGGAGGCGAGAAGGAGGAGGAGGAGGAGGAGGGCGAGGAGGAGGAGGAGGAGGAGGAGCGAGGAGGAGGAGGAGGAGGAGGAGGGAGGAGGGAGGAGCGAGGAGCGAGAGGGGAGGAGGGAGGAGGAGGGAGGAGGGAGGGGGAGGGAGGAGGGAGGAATAGGAATAGGAATAGGAATAGCAACATGACTGTGTCATATCAGATCTAAAGTGGCCCGCCTTCCCTGAACCCGCACAGGAACAGCACGAACCGGAAATGGATGTACATGTGCGCCCAACGCCCGAAGTACTGCTGCCGAAAGCCACCGTGCGAACACGACAAACAGTAACAACAGACTGCGGATGAATGAGGAGGGAGGAGTGAGGAGGGAGGAGGAGGGGGGGGGGGACAGGGAAAGGGGGGGTGAGGTTACGAAATCTGCGGCGTGCAGCTGGTCTCGGCCCGCGCCGCCGGGCCCCCTCCCTCGAGATACTTGGGCGCCTCTCCCGGCGCGCCAGGAGGCGCCCGGGAAGCCGGCCCCGCGAGCTCCTGCCCTGCCCTGCGCGTTGCCATCCTGCCCCTCCAGAGATCCAACGTATTGAAAAAGTCAAGACGGAGGTTTTTCGCAAAGGTCGGCCCCTAGGAGACCTGGCCGGGCCTCGGGGCTGTCAAAAAACGACTCAGGATGAAAAACCGGTCCTGGGGAATGGGACGAGACTTCCGGGGACCGCGTATTCAACAAATCACGACATCGGATCTCTGGGCCCCTTCCTGTCTCTCGAGCAGTGGCGAAGCGTCCTGGCATGCCACTGGGCCCACCAAGTGATGTTCTAAGAGCCTTGCATAGTCCGCACGACATGTGGAACATGTCTGGCTGAGTCTGTCTTGTTTGAACATGTTGGGGCTACGGTCTAGGAACACTGTTCTTGTCAGAAGAACAAGTTTGGGTTCTGAGAACATGCCGTGGTAAGCCTTTAGGAATGCCAGGAGGGTCGGTCCCTGATCAAGTCTCGGGGACGGCCACGAGGGCGGGTGATGACCAGGGGGGGATCTCATCGCAGGGGCTACGCTATCTCCGGAGGTTTCACGGTGCCTCTTCGTATTTCAATACGTCCCGGGCCCCACCCTGGGCCGCGCACCCGCCTCCGGCCATGATTTACATGCCTCACTCTTTGACGCCCCCCTCTTCGCCGCCCCCGACTGTCGTCTGTGCCTTTTGGGGAGGACCTGAACTCTCACCAGTTCTCCAAGGTGTCGCTCGAGGACCTCCTGCGCCTGCAGGAGGGCAGGGGCGGGGCAGTCTCGAGGGTGGTAGTCGACGTCGTTGGCGTTCGAGCTTCGAGGCGCGAGGGGGGATAGATGAGCGAGGACAGGGGAGGGAGGAGGAGGAGAGAGGGCAGGGGAGGCGGGAGGAGAAATGAGGAAGGGGAGGAGGAGGAGGAGGAGGAGGAGGAGGAGGAGGAGCAGGAGGAGGAGCAGGAGGAGGAGGAGCAGCGAGGGAGGGGAGCGCGGCCGGGAGGGAAGCGGAGGAGGGAGGAGGGAGGAGGGGGCGAAGTCCCAGCGCCCCTTTCTGGCGCGAAGTGGCCCCGCCCGCGCACACTCAGGACGGAGCAGATCTGGAGCACGTCGGGCTCAGGAAGCGATCTGGTCTGTCGTGCAGCTCCGCGGATGTCGACCGTGGATCCTCTCCGTGGCAGGGGCGCGCCGTCGCCGTTCGGCGTTCTCTCAAGCAGTGGCGAAGCGTCCTAGCGTGCCCACATAGGCCCGAAACACAGTGTTCTAAGAGCCTCTCGTGGTTTCCACGCGATGCTCTCGGAGCATTTCTGGCTGGGACTGTCCCGTTTTAGTGCATCGGGCTTGTGTTCTAAGAACATTCACTGTATGTTTCACTCGCCGTTTCGCGGTTCTGCATAGACGGAAGTCATGCAAACATCTGTTGCAGCACGTCTGCTAGGTCGGTGCAGTGACTCTTCTTGTCTCTCGACCAGTGGCGAAGCGACCTGGCATGCCAACATGCCCACCAAATAATGCTCTAAGAACTTCTCGTGGTCTGCACGAATGGTTGAACATGTCTGGCTGAGTCTGTCTTGTTTTAACACAGGGGTTATGTTCTAAGAACGTTGTCCTTGTTCTTAGAACGCTGGTAGGTTCTGAGAACATGTCGTGGTAGGCCTATGGGAATGCCGGGACGGTCGGTCCCTGCTCAGTTTATGATACCAGCACGATGCCTGCATGGCGCTCCATCCACAACATTAGGTCGGGCATGTCCCCCTACAGGCGGATTTTTGGAGGAGAAATGCAAAGCATAGCTAAGCAATGTGTAGACACATTCGAACATAAACGGATCATCGTTTTCAGACTATTGTTCCCCACATCCAAAGTGGGTCTCTTGTTTTCTCTGGACACCCCGCGCAGGAACACCCCCTCCCTTCCCACACACACACACACACACAAACACACACACACACACATTCACACACATCATCATCGGCATCACCGCATCTTCATCATTTCATTATCCAACTCACTCACTCACCCACAAGTACTCACTCACCAGCATCATGATCATCATGCTTATTATTATTCGCATTATCACAACGCCATCGTCAACAGAGCCTCGTTTGTGTTTGAATTGCGAGGAATTCTCAGGCGGGAGCCACCTCCTGATGGGGCCCACCGCTCATGGTTTTAATCCGAGCGGGTCATAGGAACCTTGAATTGTCGTCATGTGTTGGCCCTTGAGGCCTGAATATGGAGGACATGTCAGGCGGGAGCCTCGTGTGTGAGTGAATTGCGAGGAATTCTCAGGCGGGAACACCCTCCCTGTTGGCCCCAACGCTCACGTTTTTAATCCGAGGGAGTCACAGGAACCTTGTAACCGTCGTCATGCTTAGGCCCCTGAAGCTTGAATATGGAGGAAGTATCAGGCGGGAGCCTCGTTTGTGAGTGAATTGCGAGGTCTTCTCCAGCGGGAGCCCCCTACCTATGGGGCCCGGCGCTCATGTTCTTTGGTGTATATCTGTATATATATACATATATATATATATACATATATGCATATATATGTATATATAGATATGTGTATATATATATATATATAACAAACAAAAACAAACAACCCAAAAAACACACACACACACACACACACACACACACACACACACACACACACACACACACACACACACAC